TTAGGCCCAAAGCCCGTTCGAGCAGAAAGGTCGTTTGCGCGTTTCATTTTCAGTAAATCTTTTAGTTTTTGCAAAAACATGTTCGTTGCAGACACATATTTTTAAGTAAATCCATCATATTTGCACACATTTTTCTGTTGGCAGCAAATGTACACTTTTTATGTGGCGTGTGAGACATAGTTCTTCGGACTTCATTCTTTAAATGCAATGTTGCTCTGGTGAATGCCATTTTGGTGCGGAGACTGATTTGCAAGCAAAAGCAGCTCTAACAAAGATCATTTCAAGAATAATACCTGCTTGCCCTTCTCTCAATGCGTTCAATTCCATACAGCATGAAAGGGTGTGTTTTTTCCACAACAAGATGCATTTTTCGATAGAATGCCTTAGGTAAAACACCTGCACCCAAATGTAACCAAGTGTATTTTGAATGAGAGCAGGTGCGAGGTAGTTGGATGCTTTAAATCATTTATGCCAAGCTGCAAGAATTCACCTACAGGCAGGACGGTATTTTTGCTTAGAAGCAGGTGAGCAATTCTAGAGGAATACATTTTATGTAGGAAAGCATCAAATGCATCGAATTCCAACCAGTTATTTTTAGAAAACGACACTTGATACAGAACTAGATCTGGGAAGAGCCAGATCTGTGAACATTATCTCTACAGTTTGTTCATTTTTTGAACAGAGGGGTGTCAGGGTGTCACACTAAGCGTGGTGAGAGCAAAGGGCAGGACGCAGACGTCTAATCCAGAAAAAAAGAAATCATACCTATGTTTGAGGCACCAAACTTAGGACATATATAGGTCTGATTTGTTTCTTTTTGTTTTGTTTGCAGAGGGCAAGAAGCAGAGGTCTGATCCACGACGCCAGAAGACAAAAAGACCAACAAACCAAGCCTTGGCCTGGTCCAGACTGGATCATAGGTTTGTGTGATGTGCATACATGTTTGGCATCTTCACCCCTGGTAGTTGCGCAAAATGCAACATGTTCCCATAATCCTAGGTACCAGGGAAGGACCTATAATATATATATATATATGCCCAGGCGGATTCACTTGAGACTTGAGACCGTGAGCGTTTTCTCACTCGGCCGCTTCAGACAGTGAGAGCTTCTGCCCATTGTGTGAAGAGCTTTCGTCTACGCTCATTCACAGTTTTTCAAGATGTCCGAAGCCACCCTGGTACACGTAGCACCTTGAGATACACATGTACACGCATGCAAGCATCTTGCCCACCCCCCCCAACCCCCTTGAAATACACGTCAAGATGCACGACGGACCCTCTGAAAAAAAAGGGACAGCTCTGATTTTGAAATTCCACGGTGTTATATGTACAAACGACAAACACTTGTGCGGTAACAGCGCGCTGTTGTCGCACAAAATGTTCGACATGTATCGTAGCAAAAACACGTAAAATACATACTATATAAAAGTATATAAAAGTATACATGATGCAGTTCGTACCACTGTCTTAATTAAATCCGTTTGGATATGTACATAATATAACTATATAGATATATACTACATGTGTCCAATAAGCACATTCAGTGTGAATCTCTGGCTGAAGCTTGTAGATGACTGGACAGTCGGAACACCTGTCATTGATCAGGACGCAGCTTTTGCTGCTGCTGTCCTTCCGGAAGCAGCTCACCACACCTTCTTGGAGAAGAACAATCGACTGAACACCACACCAGAGATTCAGGCAAGACTGCATTGTAGTATTTTCAACTGTTTGCCTTTTCTAGCCGAAACTGTCCTTTGGCAGTTTGATTTCATTCAGCAACACAGAAGCAGGATTGGTTGCAAGAGCGGCCAGCACAGTCAAATTGTTGGAATTCTGAAGCAACGGCTTCCGCTTTTGCTTAGTAGGACGATGTTCGGGAGGTGGATGCCTGAATCCTAGCCTTTTCCAAGATGTGTGTGTTTCCTTTTGAGCAGCGGAACTATTGTCTTGGATACTCACGTATCAAAGCCATTCAAAGGGTAATTACTTACTAACATGCTGCTTGTTGCAACTCAGGTCAAGGATAATGCAGAGGCTACATATGTGTCACAGGTGGGGACAAACTTTATACAGAGACATCTGGATCTTGGATACACCTCAGGAACAACTTCGGAAGACTCGATTGTGGGGAGCTTGTCATTTCTTGGCGACGGCAGATTGAAGACAAAAGAGCAGGAACAAAACGACCGACGCTTACTACATGTCGATATTAGGCAGGCGGTGATGAGGGTTGGTGGAGATCTTAAGCTGGCAGAGAAGAACCACATGTTTACAATACTTGCAATGGGTATCAGTATTGCAGTTGCTTCTCATCAGCTGTAAATAGAATGGCACGCTTTTGGTTGGAAAAAGTTCATTACTAATCTCCGAACATCAGCTTGGGGACCTGCTTCCAGGTGAGGTACTATCTGCAAAGAAGACATCTCGTAGGCTTCAGGTGGGGTTGTAGTGCAGTTGGCAACCTGACAAGATCTTTTGTTCAAAGGACAAGCTGAAGCGCCTCTCCAGCAAAGCACACAAAACAAGGACTGCGCAGAGGATCAACAAAGTTTGTTGAGTGTGTTGGTCAGAAGATCTCTGCAGCTTCAGGAAAAGGCTCTCCAGCTCCTCTTTGAGCTTATCTGACAGCAAGGCAGGAATAATGACAAACAAGGAGTTCATGTGTGCGTGGCAAGAAATGGACATGGACATCCCGGTGTTGCATCATTTGCAGGTCCAGCAGTTTCTTTTGGACTTTTGGGATTTTGGACAACAAAGCTGGAGCCAATTTCCTTCCTATGTTGCAATGGGGTGTCTTTCTACTTCTTTGTTCAAGCCTGATAGGCCTGATAGGTATGGTCAGCCAGGGCAATCGTCCAACCTCAGATAAGAACAACTTCAAAGCAAGGAATTGAGCACACCCTTAGCATGCGATAGCTAGTTCAGACAAAACTATACACACAGCCTTGGCCACTTGTGGTAAGTATACGACAGCCCAAGCAGCCTCCTGCAGAGCGGCATGATGGCAAAGTTTTCCAAAGAATAACATAATATCTTTGGGCCCCTTTGATAAGGCCCCCTTGGAAAACGGCACTTGGAGTGCTGCCACTTTGAGATGGAGGACATGTGTTTGTCGTGAATGATGTTTCTCTTCTTGTGATTTTTGGTTCTACCTGCTGCTTCTGCGCCTTTTAGCGTTTGTGGCTTCTGTGGAGTTGAATTTTGGCTTCGGTGACTTCTGTGGCTTTTGGCTTCTATGGCTTCTTTGGCCTCTGGCTTGTGTGACTTCTGTGGCTTTGGGCTTTTGGTGGCTTCTGTGGCTTTTGGTTGCTTGTGTGGTGTTGGGTTGGTTTTTGATGGCTTGCTTTTCGTGGCTCTCCTGGATTTCGTTGGAATTTGATAGGTAGGTTTTGATAACATGTTTTTGTTAGCAATTTTCAGCTTTTTGGTAGCTAGGCATTTGGCTGCCCCTCCCCCAACCCCCCTCCAGTTTTTTTCAACCAAACCTACAGACACTCAGCGACGGCTGACCTAAGGGCAAGCTCAAGAAGTTTAGGGCAGGGAGGACCCCTCGCCACCACTTAAAAAAAACAGAAACAGTGCTTTCCTCAGAGGTACCAAGAGAATACACTGCTGGGAACTTTCCTAAGACTTCATAATTGGGGGCCACCTAGCAAAACCCCAAACAAATCAACAAATATAAACTGGTGCCAAAACAATCCAAGACTGAGTGCCGATAGTCGGCCTGACTAAACCTGTACAAGTCCAGTGCATTTGTTCAGACTGGGGTGGCGATCAGACCCTAGATGCCCATCGTTTCACTACTGTTCAATTGAGTTTCCCAAAACGTCTACGAGCCAAATCAATCATGCAAGGGTTTAAGCTACTACTTGGTCACTTGATGTTCCTTAGGCTTACAGCTCACACGTTAGCCCACCGTACGGTGTCCCCCGCCCAAAAAAGAGGTCTTGGACTTCCTTCACTCGACAGCACGGTCTGTTGTGTTCAAGTTGGACAGTTCCACATGGAGAAGGCACATGACTTTGGCACTTCTCCACCTTTGGACTCGGTCTCTAGGCCAAGTTGGAGTCCGAGTCCTGCGCCCAGAGCGTGTTATGCTTTGTTTGGAAGCTATTGTTGGAGGAAGTAGTCAGGAATTGTGCATTGCAAGGCCCAACGCATCGAGGCAAAAAGCTCAGCTCAGCCATGGTTTGCAAGCTGACCACTATATATATATAAATATAACTATATATATATATATTGTATAGAGTCCAGGTAGCATTCGCTAGCCATATTGGCATATGCAGAGCTTTTTCTACGCATAGCTGGAGGCACAGTTTGGATTGGCAGCGTTGCATGTAGAATGAGATTGCGTTCACGCGAAAAACTAAAACAAGAGCTAGGGTGGACAACCGGACAACCCATCAAACAGTATCCCTTGGAAGATCTTTGAAGCAAGTCAGTCCAGGAAAACCAGCATTGGTTAATGTATGACATGGAATCGGCCCAAGATAGGGATGTTCGATACAATTGTGGTTAACATGACATTTGCACATGGGACTAAAGCCACAGGCACTTGGTTTTGGGAGCTTTTGCACATTACCCTTCGGTTTTACTCAGTTAGAAAGTACGGGGAAGCTGCACTGTCGAGGAAGCTTGACTCGATGGTGAAGAAAGTTTCAAAGGTCAAAGCAGAAGGGGGTGGAGGCACGATGATTGACTGCGCTACGGACACATTCCTGATTGGCCTCTTTTGCCAGGTGCCTGCCTGTATGCAGGATCTGTGAGCTTTGTGGCTGGCCTCAAAGAACAGGCGCTCCTTCAGTACCACGAACTTGGCTCTCCATTACAATTGTGGTCTTCATTTGGCAGGTGGTCTTGATGTCAGCCTTCTCCAAGTACAATGCCAGTGGCACAGGGCTCTTAGACCAGGCTGGAAATATCATTGCATAATTTGTCTCAAACTTGCCAATGCTGGAGGCAGAGGTCATGGACTCTTTGGAAGGACTTGGTCTAGCTCCCAAAAATGAGACGGAAAGGGAGGAGGCACCTTTCTCATGGTGGTCTTGTCGAAGACCAGATTTCAGGCGGAAGATTTTGAGCCACATTGGCAGTCTTGAAGGTATCTGCTATCCTGCTCAACTTTGAGAAGCTCCAATTCACTCTTGATGAATACTGCAATGAGGCGTCGCGTCACTTTAAGCAGCATGCATACTTACGAACAAGATCTAAGACAACTTAGAGCCTTAGAGCGTAGTCGCCTGAATGAACCGAAGCTGCTCCTCGCAAGATACCAAGATGCAGAGAGCAGTGGCATGCTGTTTTTTCGATAGGTAGTACCGATGATTCGTCAACAACTAAAGGAGTTGCGCGCTCAGACACAGGCTTCCCAAGGAACAAGTTTAGAAGTTTGGACACTTGGAGGCTCAGACGTCCGCACTTGGCAAAGTTGTTCAAGAAGGTGTGGTCTATCCTATCTTATCATTTTACAAATATATATAATTACTGACATTTACTGTCGTATCGCCAAGCGAATAACATTCACACATTCACGCAGAGTAGCTTATGTATCACGTTCATTTCAGTACATCTTAGTGCCTCAGTTTGATACCTACGAGCGGAGCAAACTGTCCATCTCGGAGATCATGAAAGACGTGCTGATTTATGGCCTCGACGTCTATGAGGACAGGAGAACCTGCAGAGAAGGCCAAGCTGAGGGAATACTTAATACTGTCAATCGCTCCCTCTCATATACAAAATATTGTATCCAAAACATTTCATGCTTAACACAAGATGTAAAAAAGGTCAGTACCCATTGATGTGCGTGTGATATTTGTTACATTGGCCACTGTTGAGGAATCCTTGAAGATGGCACTGAAAAGTTTTGCGCAAAGGCGACTGCTGGTCTCTTTAATGCCAAGATTCGAAGATCAAAGACTTAGTTTCTGGGCAGGACAGGCCGAAGCGAGAAGCTGTTGTCTGCAGGGCTTGCCACGCCAGTGGCCGAGAATTTGGTAGAATTTGCATGCGGGTCTGCTGTGTACGAGAAGGTGGTACATTTGTATTTGTGTGGACAGTTGTCGCAGGCTCGATGAGGATGCCTTTGTAGACTTTCTTTGCCTGCAGCAGGCAAGAATAAACTATGCTAATCCCTTCACTTGCTGTTCATCATTGTTCTATTCTCATATCATATCTGCTTTCTGAAGGAGCTAGCAGAGCAGGAGCGAGTCTCTCGCTTCGAGGACCTTGTGAACAAGCTGAGCCTTTCGCAGGAAGAGCAGGCAAGCTTTTTCATCAGCTTCTTTCCTCCATTAGAAGAACTGTTAATGTAAACTAGTGTACACTGTTGCTTTATAGATAAACTAAAGTTCTTTCAAACTGAAATCCCTTAGATACAACCATGCAGGAGCTTTGGAAGCACGATTTAGTGAGCTGGGAACTGCGATTTCATGAGTGCCCCACTAGGCCTTGACATCCTTTTCAGAATCTTTAAACACATCCATGCATGTAAGATACCTCCATGACTCATCATGACTCTGTGAATCTGGCACTGTTCAAGAGTTTACCAAATGGGGTCGAGGATGATCACGGTTCAAAATAAGACTAAAGATATCACTTCCTTGAACACTCCCCTAAGGTTGCATTGCAGATAGTCAGGTTTGTAGCAGGACCTTTGGACTCGAATGAACAAAAGAACAGCGGGACAGGGACATGATATATATATATATATATGGTACCCCCCCAAATGTCGACCTTTATATATATATATATATGTGTGTATAGTTAATTCTATGTTGATTCCGAATTTAGGTTTTATTAATTCTATATTAATCTTAATTACGAAAGCCAGCCGATAGGCGTGGCTGGAGGCTTTGTGAGCGAACGAAGTGAGTCCCGGGGCAGGGGTGCCCAAAACGTAAGAAACTGAGAGGGTGAACCTTGAGCCTGCTAGGGGAGAGCGACCAAAAGTGAGGGTCAGAAAGCACTGAAAATGAGGTAAACATGGGTGCATGGTGATGCAAGTGATGCAATTGACGCCGATTGGTGCATCATTAGCATCATCAAGGGCTCCGGTGAGCACTTTTCTTGCCTCGGACGGGCTGCTGGGAACGGTGAGACACGTCAGCTTGCACGAAAAGGTATGAGGCTAGTTGGGTACAAACCTAAAGCATGCACACCAAAACCTTGGACATCGCTTGAGTCAAGCCCTCAAAAGCCAGGATATCGACATGTCCTGGCCAAGCATGCACGACAGGGCAATTTACATTCGTTGTTGGACTTCAATCAAAGAAGCTATATAGATGGTATTGACTGGAGCAGCAAAGCAGGTAAAACATACCCTAGTCTGTTGGGGAATGATGATTGCTTCAAAATGGGATTGGTTGGATGTATTGGGGCCAGTATGGTAGTTGGTTGGCAGCGACAAGTCCCTATCAGAAAGGGGCCCGTGTAGATGGCAGCTTGGTGGGGTGAAGAACCTGCTGTTTAAGGATGGGTTATAGTCACGGATCTATGCAATATTTTTGGATGACGGTTCGTAACACCAATGCTGAGGCATATAGTTCCTGCCATCCTCCTAGTCATCCTTTCAGAGAAGTCTTGTGGGTATATTTTGGTGCTAGTATGGTAGTTGGTTGGCAGCGACAAGTTGCTATCAGAAAAGGACCCCGTGTAGATAGCAACTTCTCTGTGTTTTATGTCTCTGTGTTTTCTGACTCTATGTCTCTATGTCTCCATGGTTCTGTGTCTCTATGTCTCTGGGAAGAGAGGTGTAGCCGCGACTTATGGTTATATTTTGGGCGGATCAGTGGAATAAGCGCAAGTAAAGTCCCCAACAGCACGAAGCGCCACTGAGAAAGTCTCTTCGCTGTTCAAGGCCTCCTGCGGAGCCTTGTCTGCTTTGGAACCTGCTCCGGAACCTCCTCCAAAACTTCCTCATGGACCTGCCCCGCAACCTTCCCCCGAACCTTCTCTGGAACCTGCCCCGGAGCTCCGGAACCGTTTGCCCCGCCTCCTCACCCCCGCCTCAGCCCTGCAGCCGCCGTCGGAACTTCAGCCGGCTTTCGTCCTCCCCCCCTTCTCAGCTGCTTTAATCTTATACCATTCAGTTTCAGTTGTTTTACAACTCTAGTTCAATTCTATTTGATTACCAATTTAATTTTGATATGTTGATTAATTCAAATTTGATTTGAACTCGATTCTAATTCATTGCAAATGTATTTCTAATCCAATACAAATTGAATTCTAGGGTTTTGCTGGGGGTGTGATTTTAAGAAAACACCTTTGAGAAAGCAACACATAATTGACATCCTGAATGACCTAATTCTAATTCAATTTCATTTGAAATCAAATTCAAATCTATTTTAACATACTGTAATTAAGTGTTAATTCTATTTCAGTTATCATTCAAATTAGTTTGAATGTTGAGTAACTTCCATACATAGTACATTTAATTGGATTTCAGTGCAAATTTATTTCTAGTTAATGGTTACTGCTTTTCAAGTTAATTTCTATGCAGTTTCTGTTTAAATCTAATATCATTCAATTTTTCTAGTTATGTCTTTTATGCAATTCTAGTTTGATTCTAGAGAGTGCGTATTGCTTGAACGCTTTGTATATAATTTATGTGTTGCTTTCTTAGGGGTTGTCTTCTTAGAAGCACACCCACAGCAAAGCCCTCTCTCTAGAATAAAGTCAGAGTTAAATGAGAATTCACTTTGCATTGAATTAGAAAGAAATTGGCGCTGAACTAGAACCGAATTAAAATTAGTTTAGAATCCATCAAAACTAAATTCAATCAAACATGTATTTAAGTAGAATTGTAAACACCTCAAAATTGAATTGCATAAGTTTTAAACTAGCTGAAGCCAATAATTAATTACAAATATATTGAAATGTAAACAAAACTAAATGTGAATTAACATAAGACTAGGTTAGAACTAATCACGAAAGGTAGCGGTTACGCTACCTGAGTTTTCCTT